TTACATCCACTTAAGTATTTGAGAATGAATGTTTTCCTTTGCTCTCACCACTGAGCACAGTAACCAGGGCAGAAATGATTTTTAAAAAAATATACATTGCAATATCTACCTCTCTCCCCTCCATCACCACTTTTTCTGTTGCTTTTTGACTTTGTAGTATTTTTTGCCTCTCAGGACTTGAGTTGTTTTTACAGTTTAAAATATTATGCAACTGCATTATTTTTAAAGTTTTTAAAATATACGTGCATATTATAGAGTAGAAAGTGAAAGTCTCCTGTCATATCTATTCTGTTCTCCAAGATAACTGTGGTTAACAGTTTGATATGAATCTGTTTAGACTTTGTTGTATATAACATGTATATACAAAATACATAATCAGCTATCCTCCTCCTATATAATAAAAGGCTAATATGCAAATCAACCAAATGGCAGAACGACCGGTTGCTATGACGCACACTGACCACCAAGGGGCAGACCCTTAATGCAGGAGCAGCCCCCTGGTGGTCTTTGCACTCCCACATGGGGACCGCTGCTCAGCCAGAAGCCCTGAGCTGGGCTCACGGCTGGCGAGTGCAGCAGCAGTGGTGGGAGCCTCTCCTGCCTCCGCAGTAGTGCTAAGGATGTCTAACTGATGGCTTAGGCCCGTCAGTCCTAAGGGATGTCCTAAGCCGGCAGTCAGACATCCCCCGAGGACTCCTGGACTGCCAGAGGGCACAGGCCAGGCTGAAGGACCCCCCGCCCTCGAGTGCATGAGTTTTGTGCACTGGGCCTCTAGTTTATGTATAACTTTATTGTTAACTTAATGTATTTTATTGATTTTTTTTTACAGAGATGAAGGAAGAGAGATAGAGAGTTAGAAACAATGATGAGAAACATCGATCAGCTGCCTCCTGCACACTCCCTACTGGGTATGTGCTTGCAACCAAGGTACATGTCCTTGGCCAGAATCGAACCTGGGACCCTTCAGTCCGCAGGGCGACGCTCTATCCACTGAGCCAAACCGGTTAGGGCTTTATTGTTAATTTATATAGGATATTATTTTGAATGATTTCCTCTTTTCTTTTAATAATGTATTTTTGGCCGAAACCGGTTTGGCTCAGTGGATGGAGCGTCGGCCTGCGGACTGAAGGGTCCCAGGTTCGATTCCGGTTAAGGGCATGTGCCTGGGTTGCGGGCACATCCCTGGTGGGAGATATGCAGGAGGCGGCTGGTTGATGTTTCTCTCTCATCGAGGTTTCTAACTCTCTATCTCTCTCCCTTCCTCTCTGTAAAAAATCAATAAAATAAATTTTTTTAACAAAATAATGTATTTTTGAGTCTTCTGAGTCAGTTCAGGTAGATATGCCTCATTTATCTTAACATCTTATTAATGTTATAGTGTGTGTGTGTGTGTGTGTGTGTATATATATATATATACATGTATATATATATATATAGATATATATACACACACACATACATACAGATTACTTGTTAGCCTGTATCATATAGATAGATATTTAGATTCTTTCCAGTTTTGCTCTGTTACAGTGTTATAATGAACATTCTTGTAAATCTTAGTTTATATTTTCTATTATTTCTGAGGTATGATTGCTAGATGGAATCTTGCACAATCAAACATTATGCTTACTTTAAATATTGATAGCAATGACTAATTATTCTCCCCTAATACTTTATCAGTTTGTACTCTAGTTAAGATATGAGAGTGCTTCCTTCCCTACAGTCATGTCAACATTTTTTGATACTAATCTTTTAAACATAATTTTATGGGTCAAAGTGATGTTTGTTTTAACATTCTGATTAATACTGAGGTTAAGGAGTATACTCTCTTACTCATTTGTTTAGAATATTTTTCTATTGGGGTTTTGGTCTTATTTGTAGAATCTCTTTATATTATGGATATTAATTCCTCTGTATAAAAATTGCCAATATTGTCTTCTAGTTTGTCCCTTGCTTTTGTGTATTTTCTTCATTAAACAAATGATAGATTTATCTATCTTTTCCCTTAGAGTATATGGGTTTAGTGTATTATGTTTAAACATATTTGTTCTAAGGCATATATTTAATGAGTTAGGAATTTTTTTTTGTTCGTTTTTGCTGTTATTCTTGTTTATCCTTAATAACTTTTAATGAATAACCTAATTTTTCCTAGGGTTATTTTTAATCTGTATGATCATTCTTTTATTTACAATTCTTATTTGGAGAGAAGTGCAGCGAGAATAGATAAATTTCTGAATGGTCTCATGATTATGAAGTAGGATGTTTAATTACTTTTAATGTTCTGAGTTTAAGAATATATAGTTGCATATTAAGGTAGACCCGGGTGTGTGTATATGTGTGTGTGAGTGAGAATTTATATATGGTTTTCCACTCCCCTGAAATATCTATGTATGTCTTTATCTTTTCTTTCCTTTTCTAATTATTTATCAATTGATCAATTATGGCAGCCTGCCTTATACCAAGGGTTATGCCAAAAGGAGGGATGCTTCTTTTTTTTTTAATAGTATATTTCAATTGCAGTTTACATTCAATATTACTTTATATTAGTTTCAGGTATACACAATAGTGGTTAGACAATCATATACTATACCCAGTGTTCGCCAGATATTTCCAGTACCCACCTGGCGCCATACATAGTTATTGAAATATTTATTGACTATATTCCCTATGCTTACTTTACATCCTTGTAACTATTTTGTACTTCTATATTTTATTTTTATCTTTTAAAAAATATGTTCTTACTGATTTCAAAGAGAGGAAAGGAGAAAGAGAGAGAGAGAGAGAGAGAAACATCAATGATAAAAGAGAATTACCTTTTGCATACCTCCTGCATGCCCTCTACTGGGGGTCAAGTGCACAAACCTGGCATGTGCCCTCACCATGACCTCCTGGTTCATGGGTCAATGCTCAGTCACTGAACCACATATACTGGGCTCTTTTGTACTTCTTAATCTCTTTAGCTCTTTCACTTCCTCCCCTCTGGCAATCCCCAGTCCACTTTTTGTGTCTGTGAGTGTGTTTCAGTTTTGTTTATTTTCCACATGTGTGACCCCATGGTATTTGTCTTTCTCTGACTGGCTTATTTCACTTAGCATAATACTCTCTAGGTCTGTCCATGCTGTTGCAAAGGGTAAAATGTCATTCTTTTTTTATGGCCAAGTAATGTTCCTTTGTGTGTACTAGGTGTACCAGTTAATATTCTGGATTTTTTTCAATAGATGGAGTTATATATGTTGCTATATATGCGACTTGATATGTATGCTATTTTGTTGTATTGACAGCAAGTTTCAAAACCTCATATGTCAAATTTGCTGAAGGTGTTAACATCATAGATATTTTTATGCTTAAAAATGTTGAATTTCATGCCAAATAAAGAGCATTTGTGGGAAGTTTTAATTCATTACTTTATTTTAAAGAAAAGTGCTGCTGCTGCTGCTGCTGAAAGTTATCGTATACTTCGGGAAGCTTATGGCGAACATGCTCCATTTCAAGATACTTGTGAACGCAGAAAGTCTTTTTTGCATTGAATTGTGACTGGCGATGAAAAGTGGACTTATTTTGAGAATCCCAGATGCACAAAATCATGGGTTGATCAACCAACAACATTGACTGCAAGGGCAAATCACTTTGGAAAGAAGACAATGCTCTGCGTTTGGTGGGATCTGGAAGGTGTGGTGTAGTATGAGCTTCTAAAACCAGGTGAAACGCTTAGTACTGATTGCTACCAACAACAAATAATCAATTTGAACCACGCTTTGATTGTGAAACAACCAGAATGTGCCAGAAGACACGGCAAAGTAATTTTGCTTCATGATGGTGCACCATCACACACTTCAAAACCAGTTAAAGACATGTTAAAAGATCTTGCCTAGGAAGTATTAACCCACCCACCATATTCCCCAGACCTTGCTCCTTCAGATGACCAGTTGTTCTGATTGATGGCACACATACTTTCTGAGCAGCACTTCAAAACATTTGAAGAAGTGGAAAATTGGTTCTCTGAATGGTTTGACTCAAAACAAGAAAAGTTTTATTGGGATGGTATCCACAAATTACCTAAAGATGGGGGAAATGTGTAGTTAACGATAGACATTACTTTGAATAAAGTACTTTTGATGTTTCTCTTGAAATTACCATGTTTTCTTTGATTACAAATCTGCCATTATTAACTGGTTACATTAACCTATGTACAACAACTTTTTGTCCATTTGGATTGCTTCCATATATTGGCTATTGTAATTACACTGCAATGAACAAAGGGGTGCATATGGAAGATGCTTTTTAATTAAGGGTTTATGGTCTATTTGGGGAGATTACATATATATATATATAAAAGCCTAAACGAACTTTATAACCAGTCGCTATGACGTGCACTGACCACCAGGGGGCAGACACTCAATGCAGGAGCCACCCCCTGGTGGTCAGCGTGCTCCCACAGCCAACCTCCCCCTGGCTGGTCTGCTCGATCAGACCTGATAGAGACTAGGTGAGATGGGCCCCAATGGGCCCCGATCACCAGCCAGGCTGAGGGACCCCACCTGTGCACGAATTTGTGCACTGGGCCTCTAGTTATGATATAAGAGGATTGAGAGCCATAAAAAAGGCTTAATGAAAGAGGTGAGCCTTGAAGCTGGATGTTTTAGAAATGTCCAGGGTTATATATTTTTTATCTTGGTTTTTAAGTTTCATGAAGGTAGGCTTAATATATCAAGTGGCTACTTGCCCTCATATTAATTGCTTAAAATATTGAAGAGAAAATCATCTTTATCCTATGCTGTCCTCTAGTCTGCCCTTGTTTAGAGCTTTATCTAAAATTATTTGTGATTTGATGTTAGAGATGATTATGTGAATAGTCCAGAGTGCTTGTTGATTGAAGAAGCTTCTGTTAGTTGAACACTCAGGATTCATTAGTTATAAAATCGAAGATGTAAAATATCTTGTGATGTTTAGTATGCTTAACCTGAAATAGTTTTAATTCTCTGTGACTTATTTTTTTGTAGAGCATGGGCCTGGAATTGATATATTTACACCTGGTAAACCTGGAGAATATGACTTGGAAGGTGGTATATGGGAAGATGAAGATGCTCGGAATTTTTATGAGAACCTCATTGATTTAAAAGCTTTTGTTCCAGCCATCTTGTTTAAAGATAATGAAAAAAGTTGTCAGAATAAAGAGCCCAACAAAGATGATTCTAAAGGTAAGTTATAGAGGACAAATTTTTACATTAAGTGCTATAAAAATTAGTTTCAAAATATTATTTGTAAAAAAATTATTTTTTAGTTACTACTTTTAAAAATATATATTTTTATTGATTTCTGAGAGGAAGGAAGAGGGAGAGAGAGAAACATCAATGATGAGAGTCATTGATTGGCTGCCTGCTGCATGCCCTTTACTGGGGATCGAGCCCCCAACCTGTGCATGTGCCTTTGACCGGAATCAAACCTGAGATCCTTGTCTGCAGGCTGATTTTCTATCCACTGGAGTCAAACTGGCTAGAGCTAGTTACTAGTTTTATAATGTGAACCTTGACTCATTAGATTAAAGGCATGGCAGAATAATATGGAATGGAGTTTGATATACTTTCAACAATGTCAAAACAATTTAATGTGAAATAATTTGAATATCCTACCTAATAAAGAGGGATAAGCTAATTGACCCTCATGCCATCACAAAGATGGCGCTGCCCACAGCCAATAAGGAGGGAATATGCTTATTGACTGCCATGCCCTCAAAGATGGTGGCACCCAGTCTCCTCAGCCTCGCCACGTGTCTGTCTCTGGAGTCCCCCAGTCCCTCAGCTCCCCAGCTGGCCAGGGTTGGCCCGAGGCACAGGCAAGCCTCAGATGGCGGCTGCCCAGCTGCCCAGGGCCGCCTGAGGCTCAGGTAACCAGGGCCAGCTGAGGCTTGCACTGCCGGCAGTGGCAGCAGCAGAGGTGTGATGGGGGCGTCACCTTCCCATGATCGCCGAGTTGCCTCCTGCCTCTGAGGGCTCCCAGACTGTGAGAGGGGGCAGGCAAGGCTGAGGGACCCTCCCTCCAGTGCATCTATTTTCATGCACCGGGCCTCTAGTGTTTGTTTATAATAGTGAATTCATGTGAGTTCTTGATGAGATCTAAATTTCCCCCAGTTGGATGGTTAGGGACAGTGTTAGCTCTTTAGTACTGTTTAAGTGGAATGCTCTTTCTAGGTTAGATATCCCTCTTTGTGAGGAAGAACTACTTTAGAAAAATCACAGGTTTTGAGATCGTCAGTATGGTGGAAGGTCTTGAATGCCAGTCAAACCATGTTTTCTAATGGTAATTTTGTGAAACCATAGAGATGAAGAAGCGATGGAAGGGTCTGGTGATGGATTTGGAGAGAGAGCAGATAACTTTTTTAAAAGTAATTTTATATTCTGTTGTATTTATTAGGGAACCCATTTAAAAAATAATAGCTACTAATTTTGATTTAGTAATCTCTTTGTGCCAAATACCATTTTAGCACTTTATAATATACATAAGAATTTATTTAATTCTCATAATATTGTTATCCCTGAGGCAGCTATTATTGTTATCCCTATTTTTAAGGTAATGAAACTGTGGCACAAAGAGCTTACATAATTACTCAGGGTTAAATAACTTAATACAGCTAGTAGATTTGAAATTTAAGCCCTGTCAGTGATTTGTGCTCTTTTTTCTTTCCGTTTTTAAAATATATTTTTATTAATTTCAGAGAGGAAGGGAGATGGAGAGAGAGATAGAAACATCAATGATGAAAGAGAACCATTGATTGGCTGCCTCCTGCCCTGTACTGGGGATTGAGCCTGCAACCCGGGCATGTGCCCTTGACCAGAATTGAACCTAGGATCCTTTAAGACTGCAGGCCAATGCTCTATCCATTGAGGCAAACCAGCTAGCGTGACTTGTGCTCTTTTAAAAAATATATATATCTTTTTATGGATTTCAGAGTGGAAGGGAGTGGGGGAGAGAGAGAGAAACATCAGTGATGAGAGAGAATCATTGATCTGCGGCCTCCTGCACGCTCCCCATTGGGGATTTTACCCATAACCTGGGCATGTGCCAAGACCGGTAATCAAACCTTGACCTCCTGATTCATAGGTTAATGCTCAACCACTGAGCCACACTGGTTGGGCGACTTGTGCTCTTAATTGCTGCATTATACTTTTTTTCAAATTATCTTAAGATTAGTAACTTTTTTGTTTTATACTATAACTAGAGGCCTGGTGCATAAAAATGTGTGCACTTGGGGGGGAGGGGGGTCCCTCAGCCCGGCCTGTGCCCTCTCGCAGTCTGGGACCCCTCAGGAGATAATGACCTGCTGGCTTAGGCCTGCTCCCGGGTGGCAGAGGGCAGGCCCAATCCCTAGGTGCAGCCCCTGGTCGGGCTCAGAGCAGGG